TAAAAAATGTTACTAAAATGCCATCACGATAAGAGATGGATAAAGTCAGCAGAATTATCAAACACATTCCTGTAAGGGTGCATTTAGATACCACAAACAAACAGAGTTTATGAACTACAGAAAAAAAAAAGTTTTTTAATCTTGTGCACATATTTTAATATGGTTTCTGCTCAGTTTGCCTGTTTACATGTTTTACTATTTTATCTTATCTGACTTGTTAAAAACAGGTCTGTTAACCATTAATCGTGAGGAAGCAGTTACATTATTGTCAGTCGTCCTCGGTCATGATAGGTTACTGTGTTTTATCGCTCTGGAACTGTAAAATGCCTGCAGTTGTGCACCGAGAAACAACTTTTACAGTTGGAGAACTGAATTGTGTCAAGGTCGAGCAGAAGCAGGACAGCCTGCACGCTGGACGAGTGGATCGAGGTCATGCAGCTGATTGAGGAAGTGATTTGACTGCGGCACACATTCCCAGAATGCTCCATTTGACCTCGGCCACTAAAATAACTGTCCACGAGAGACGGACTTGTTCTCTTTTGTGTAACTGGAAGAACACCCTGCAAATGCACTGCAAACCTGCTCACTTTCAAAATGGAGAACGTTTCATCATCCATGACTTTAATCCTGAGCAGTTTTTACTCAACAGTTTGATGACTTTTTTATTTTTTGTGAAGAAGTTTCCTTCCTTCCTCTCAGCTGTAGCACTGAACACGTTACTCTGTTTTGACTAGCTGCTGTGGGACTAGTTGGAGGAGAAGTGCTGAGTGTTAATTCAGTTCAGTTTTTTTATATATCATTAGTAAAGTGGCCTCAAGGTGCTTTATAATTATGAGATAAAGACCCAACAGTATTGGAGAGAAAACCCCAACATTCAGACAGGGTTCATACCTTTACTGCCTTTAATACCTTTGCTATGAAAAGATACATTTTTTTGCAATTTCTGCCTCAAAAACACATTTGGACACTGATGAAGGTGACGCACCCTGCTAAGTATAGGCTAAGTATAGGTCTGTCAGCATTACTAATGGGTGCAAATTAAAATCTTTTGCTGCATATGATCACGTTGAGGGGGTTTTATATGAATCTTTTGTTTTTAACAGTGTTTTTGATTTAATAATGTTTCAAACTAAAATAACAGAAATGGTCAGTAACAACAAAAAATCTCTATGTAGCAGAAAATAAGGAGAATAGCTCCATGTTAATACCAGTATTATGCTCATAATTACAATACTAACTTATTTTATACAAACCACATCTGAGACGTCTTGGTTGTGCAATAACTGACACATTATTATAGTAAGTATATGCTTCTTTTTTCTTGCCTAATGTTGATGAAGCAGTTATGTCATTAAATCATAGGACTCCAAAATAATCCTGTTACCACAGGATTATTTAGGTAATCAATCATTTTTCTATCCTGATTGTTTCTTCTCAAATATGAGGCGTGCATTAGTATGTAGGCTGGATTTAAGTTGGAGCTGCCAGCCAACCAAAGACAACTCAGGATGTCGATGTTGTATTTTTGCTGGCAGTTTGTTGATTTAAAAAACCAGCCTTCAACATAAGAGCACTGCAGTTGGAATTCAATGGTGTTTATACACCACTCTGCATTTAATCATTAGTTATTATTAATCTCTGGCCTCTGATTAATCTTCCCTCTGATGGTCAGGAGCAGCTTCTTTGTGTACAAGCGCCGTAAAAGAAGTTCTAGAAAGAATCTCTGGATACAGACTTTCTGAATATGTTGCAGATCGTGTTGTTGTTGGAGAGCTAAATTCCAGAGCTGAGTTTAGCCACTGACTTCAACAGTGTGGCACTTTCTGTCTAACAATTCATTCCACTCATACCGATGATGCCACTGCAGCTGATCACGAAACTGAGTAAACTAGCGAGCAAGACCTGTACTTTGTGTTTTCAGTCCAAGTTCCTGCTCTTTCATTTAGTTTGCTTCTGTGTTTATCACAGAGGGGAGTCGAGTTCACAGCCCTCTAACACAAAAAGCTGAAATCCTCCAGTCTCATTTAATGTACCTAGTTTTTCAAACATCTATTTAGGATGATAATAAAAATGTACATTATCATCTCATATAAATCGAATATTAATTATAGCACAGTGACGAAGACCAGTATAAGAAGTAATGAAGGGAAATCTTGATCCCAGCTTTGTGTGCAACTAGCTGGACTCTTTAGTCGGTAAAGTGAATTATTTCATATTTCAATTCATATTGAGTCTAAGATGTTGTAGCGGGGATTGAGAGATCGCATTTCTTTATCACTTTGATCTAGAAAAAGAGCAGCTGTGTGAGTAGATTGCCAGAGTAAAGCAGCCGATAACCGTTTGACCGAGAGATCCAAACCATGGAGTGTGGTTTTGCATCTCTCGGGTCAAACGGTTATCGGCTGCTTTACTCTGGCAGTGCTAACCTTAGCCACACTGAGCTAATCTGAAACTGTGTGAGAGAGATTCATTTCAGAGACATTTGAAACAAAAGGAAGTTCATTTTTCACCCACGCAGTATTTCTGTGGTAATTTTTCACATTTGATTGAGCTCAGTTTGAATTTTGTTGTTTAGGTGACAGCACATTATTCACTGTTAGGTCTGTACAAGCTAATGCTGACAGCTTTTAGCTTTAACTGTAAATGAAGCAAAAGTCTTTTTTTTTTTGTGTGAATTTAATGTTAAAACTCACGACTTCGTCTGAGTTGTAGCTTCTCACAGTTGCTAAACAACCTTACTCGAAGTATATTTGCAGAACCTCACAAACACATTTAAACCATTTTATCAGTGCTTAAAACCACAATATCTTTAAACGTTATCTTTCTAACCTCATGTTGCTGTTTCTTAATTTTGCAAAAATGACAGACTTGCACTGCTTCTCAGAGTGATGCACAGAAACATCAGTTCACGGCAAAGATTCACAGACACAACTGCAGCACAGTGATTTTCCAGTTATACATATTGTTAGCTAATTCAGATCAGAGTGTACCAACACCAGCGATGGATGGAAACAATCTGAGAGGAAGACGAGGAAGAACAAAACCAGGAACACGAGTTTTAGGTGAAATTTGAGCAGCTGTTCTGGATTTATACATGAAATAAGAAACTTGAAGTGTGAGACTCTTTGTCTTTCTTCAGATATTTCTCAAACAAGAATAACATTTCCTTATTTATAGTTCCTGTAAGTTACTCTTCTTGATCTATCTCGTCCTCCTCTGCCTCACGGATGATTTCCATCCATTGCCGGTGGGGGTGGAAGATTTTCAGCTGCTGTGCTTAGGAAATGATGCGAGTGCTGCAGATCTGTAAGCTTAACCTCTGCATCCTGTGGTTAACTTCATGCATCTTGCGGTGACTCATTGTGCAAAATGTGTTATTGAGCGAGGGAGAGCCCATTATTAAAAAAAAAAAAGGCATCAAAGGAGATCTGCAAATAGAGTCTAAAATGGTGAAAGCTGTAAATGAGAGCAGGATTGTTTCAGTGAGTGAAAATGATGCAGTTGCGTTTCATTTTTGGAAGCGGAGCAGAAAGTAAAAATCTGTTGAGGTCATCAAAAGCAAAGGTGAAGCTGAGGTCTGCAAACTGTGTGCCGCTGCATTTTTCATGTCCTTTTTTTAATACATGCAGATATGAGTGCTGTTTTATTGAAGTGAGACTTTAAATATAGCACCAACACCCTCAGATTTCCTGTTGGTTCTAGAGAACTGATGCACTGCTGATGTTGTCAAGCCAGCTCTCAGTTTAAGGCATAAAATCAAGAGGAAGTCACCGAGCAAGGTCCTTTATGACCCAAGATAGCGCTGTGCGATATGATGAAATATATTGATGACGAAATGAAAAAACTATCGTTTCAAATTGTACGCTATCGTTTGTTTCGTGGTTTCCAAAATAAGCTGTTTACAGCAACGTTTTTCCATCGGGGCGCAGAGAATACCAGCATGGCCAGTGAATATGAGGCAGAACCAGGTAGCTCCAAACAGAAAGACTAGTCGAAACAAAACGAGGACCTTATTCCTAATGAGGGCCGGCCCCTGTAGCATGGACTTGATTTGGTTATGAAAAGTCTGACACACACCAGAAAACTCTACTATGCAAATTATGCCGCAAACCGGTTCCCACCACAGACTCAAACACGACAAACCTCTTCTACCACCTACGCAAGAATCATTTGAAAGGTTGTTGACAGAGTTTACAGATGAGAAGCAAAAAAGCCGTCAGGTGCTCAAAATAAACCTTAGACTCAAACGTTAGAACAGGCTTTTCCTCGCAGCACGTAATAAATACAAAGAACATGGTGGCCGTTACATATAGTTTCATGCACCAGTCAAAACACTCGGCTCCAGGAACACGACACCCAGCTGAAAACACTTCACACAAGTCGGGTTCACAGAGTTTACATAAAAAGCCCTTTTTTGTCATGTACATCGTTATCAGGATGAGAAATGTCTTACATGAGGATATGAGATTTGGGTCATCGCACAGCCCTAACCCCAAATGTTTATTTGAATCTTACAACTTCTCATGTTTTTGTGTTGTATTAAAACTTGTGATTATTATTTTAGATGGCATAAACTTACATAAAATATTCCTCTAGTAACAAAGAATATAACTGCCTCACTCAGGTCATTTTAGCCTCAGTTGTGTCAGGGTTAACTTTAACATTCAGAGTATTTGTCATGATGAGCTGTTTGTGTTTGTCAGGTGAACGGCGGCATTCAGAATCGGCTGGAACAAGAAGTCCTGCACTACGACTACCACGCCTCTTCTTCGACATCTTTGTAAGGTTCTTTCTTTTGCTTTAAATGATCAACTTTATATCGTTTATTTTATGTGGGGGGTTTTTTCACTATTTTTTCCTTCCTTTTTGTTTCCCTCCTCCTTCTGTGCCACCTTCACCTTCCTCCCCTCCCTCAGCTGCTGGCAGTTTTCAGGTTTGCCGTCCTCATCCTGGCCTACGCTGTCTGCAAGCTTCGTCACTGGTGGGCCATCGCGGTAGGTTTTAAGGCTGTATGCCACAACAGTGCTTCTGTAATTGCGCCAGCAGAGGGCGCTGCCCAGCAAGAGCTCACATTGTTGGGTGCGCAGTGAAGTGTCCGGCAGGAGGATGCACTAATTCTTGTTTCTGTGCATTAAATATGTCAGGGGGCATCAGTGTTTGTTACAGGCTGATTCTGTGATTTTCCATTTCACTTCATTATATTCAGTATATTTAGAGAGTTAAAGACCATTAACATGAGGATGTTTTCAGGTAAAAGGGGTTCTGTTTAAAATATTAGCAAAAATAACAGCATGAGCATTTCTGATGTTTTCTGTCTTTGTGCAGATCACCACTGCAGTCAGCTGTGCTTTCCTGATTGCTAAAGTCATTTTGTCGAAGGTAAGAAGAAGCTTTACAATTCCTAACTGTCTGCACTCGTGGGTGTACACACACACACACACACACACACACACACACACACACACACACACACACACACACACACACACACACACACACACCTCAGAAAACAGGGTGGTACTTAAAGTTTTGATCTAAGAAACCTGACAACATCTAATATTTTCATTATTTGTAACAAAAATGTTGCACTGACTTTAGTTTTTTACTTCTAATAATATCTTTATTTATTTTAGTATTGGTGTCAATGTCCACACACAAAAACCTCTTAGAGGACAGTTTGTTGTTGGAGTTAATTTTCTTCTGCAGTCTTTGCTCCATATTCCCCGATGGCGATGCAAACATGTATGAGGATTTAAGGAAGTGAAGCAAACTCCCTGTACAGGAAAACCTGTAATTGCTGCTGCTTAACAATAATAAATATTTGTTTTTGCACCTTCTAAATTTTAAATGGTCAGATTTTGTATGCTTTGTGTAGAATTACATATTCATATTGGGACGTGTGTGTTTCTTGTGTAGCTGCTGAGTCTGGGGGCCTTTGGGTACCTGCTGCCCATCATCTCCTTCGTTCTGGCCTGGATAGAAACGTGGCTGCTCGACTTCAAGGTCCTGCCTCAGGAGATCGAAGACGAAAACAGTGAGTCTCAACTGAGCTAATAATAAAAAAGGCGCCTTCATTACTGTTGCAGTACTGCTGCTGTCACTAATGTGATCTCTGTCAACAGATCGTTTACCTTACAGGTTCCTTTTAAAACCTTCCTGTAAGTTAGCAAAAGAATGTGAAAAAACAAGTACTATGACTCAAGAGCCTCTGAGTGGAGAATGAAAAAGAAACAAGAAAACGATAAAGAACAGCAGCAGGCGCTCTGGTGAAACACTGCCACCTGCTGGTGAACATTCAAAGCTACATACTGAGTAATTTTATTCAGTTGTTTTATTTAAAATAAAAGAGCATGGGATAAGAAGTTAATATTATAATTATTTATTATAATGTTAGAGTAAAAAGTGTAATGCATCAGCTTCCTGTTGCTATTTCTCAGGTAATTATTAATAATTATATGCTATGAACAAAATCTTTACTCACCTGATAAATGAAAGTTATTTCACCACTGTTATGTTATTCTAACCTCATTGATGTCCTGCTGATGCAGTTATTCCTGCTTCCTTCATCCTTCTGTGTTTCAGGACATCAGTCCATCATAGATACAAGTAGGGCTCCTCTCCTGGGTCCAGGTCCTTTATCTGATGGGCAGTTCTACTCTCCGCCAGAGTCTTTGGCAGGTCTGTTTCCTCCCACTGACATCAGACAAACCCAAACACACCCGACACACTCGCTTCAGCTGTCGCTCTTTCAGACTGCTCAGTCTGATGATTCTGACTCTTCATTCCCATTTAAATGAGCGTACAGACACAAAATATGAAGATATACAGTTCATTTTATTGTCATCATTATTATTATTATTAGAGTTTTTAGATTTCCAGCTTTGCACTTCACACCCAGAAATGAGTGGCGTAGCTCCTTCAGTATTTGTTTCACTGCACAGTGAAAGGAGCTTTGTCATCTGCAGACATCTTATTGCTTAGAAAATAATTCAATTACTCAGCTGCCTCTGCAGTGAGCCTTCCATACAATGGGTGGGCCCATCCTTTGCAGACACAGACACTCTCCAGAGCAGAAGCAGAGCTGCAGTCGATAACACAAAATACAAAAATAATTCCCGTTTCTGTAAAATGTGAAGAATTAAAAGTGAAGGTTTATTCTCACACCAGCCTCCTGCAGCTGCTTTGAACCTGCAGCCTCCTGCAGACGATTAAGACAAGCGCGCCTCAGTTGTTTCACACAGGTCAATAAACAAGAAAATTTAAAAATGATGAAACCTGACAAGACGGGAATTGTCAGGCTGGTTATTAGTGGCTGAATTTTCAAAATAAGAGCGAAGGGCATCATCTGCTATTAAGCAGTTGTAGATGCCATTAATGTCTTTAAGGATAATACATTTAGTTGGCATGAATACCTGAGCCGTCCGGGTTCAGAGGGGTCGTCTTCTGATCTGAAGGTTGGCAGTTAAAATCCTGGCTCCACCGTTCTTTTATCGTCCTACATTTTCTGTGGTGTTTCTATAAAAACGCTGACCGATTTCCCTTTCGTGTTCAGACTCTGACGAGGAGCTGGATGATAAACACGAACCTGAAAAAGGGCTCATTACACAAATGACTTAACAGGTAAGAATACGTAATGACAGACGTCAGTCAGGATTCGTATCCACAGTATTAGTCTGATGTGCTGTTTTATTTCTCCACAGGATCTCCGATCCTGAACATGGAGGGATTTTTGGGTCCTCCAGCGTTGTGCTACTGAGGGGAAAACTTCTGCCTTACACCTTCAGCCATTTTAGTTTGTATTTGTTCATATCCACAAATGCAGCTCACGTTCTGATATCAGCCTTCTGCACGTACACCGCGACCGGGAAAGTGCCACTTAAAAGTTTCAGTGTCATGAACTCTGGTTACTGTATGAGTTTTGTTTCTCCACCTTTAAGGAACTCGAGACCTTACAAGAGATTTATCAGAAATAAATCATTACATCCTTATCAGTATCCATCCATAATTCAAAACATTACATCACACTTAAAAAAATATATATTTACACTTTCAATTTAAAAACAGAGTGTTAATGTCTTATATCCAGCATAATGTTTACTTATAATTCGGTGATCATTTTCTTATGCTTCGGTTGAGTCACTGCAAAGGAAAATAAGCTCATGGATGCCACAGAAAGGATTGTTCAGCCAATATTGAGCCTGCAGACCAAACTGTAGCAGAAAGAGAAAGTCAAACTCTTAGAGATGTTTATGATTACTTCAATGTCTTAAAAATGTGCATGAAAGAATATTAAGGTAACATATAGAGATGTGAACGATACTGTTTGTTTTGAAACGAGAGTGAAGGATTGTGTGTTAAAGAAAACGAGCCATAAACGTGCAGCATGTACACTCGGAGATTTGGGTTTAGTGCACTGAACAGAAGGGACGCTGCTCTCGAAAGCTGCTGTGACGGGCGGGGAAACGTTCTAATGCAAATGTACATATCTTCATGCATGCTTTGCAAGCTCAGTGGATGTTTATTCTTTTTTTTCTTTTTTAAAGAAAAGCCCGTCTGTATAACAGAATCATTAAAATGTTAAAGGTTATGTGGTTTTGTTTAATTGCTTATGTCAAACGTCGACCTTAAAGAGATCAACAGAATAAGAACTTAGACATAAATTAGCCTTATGAATAAATAAAATGTGAAAATATCAGTTTGTTTCAGGTAATGTCAGCTGTTTATTAAAACAAATATTCCTTTTTCATCTCTATTTTTTCTTAAACCTAATTACTACTCTTAATTAAGGTGAACAGACTCTGAATGGGGGACTTTTATTTTAATTGTGTGTAATATATTAATTACATTTATTGAATTAAATAAAGATTAACCCTTATTTTTAAAGAATACATGGACTGTAGATAAAAGATGGAGGTGACCTTTTACTAGAGTTATTAGTTTTGAATTTTCTAGTTTTTATTTTTCATTCCATTTTGAATTTTTAAGGTCAGTTTAGTGTCAGTTAGTCTCCAGAGTGAATTTTCTTCTTTCAGTGTAGTTTTTAGTAGTTTCAGTTACTTTTAGGCTTTTAAATTATTATTGTTATATGGAGGCCAAATGTCAGAGGGAACATTTATGAAAATCAGCAGAGAGATCGCTAAAAATAAAGATTTACCCCCTATTTTTAGTTTAGTTTTCCAAGTTCAAAGTCTTGAAATGTTTTATTTTTATCTCAGTTTGGGTTTAGATTAGGTTAAATTTTAGTTTGTTTTTTGTTGCTAAGCAAGCATTGCTAGCATGCTGCACCCATAAATACAGCTCAACCTTTGTTTAATTTAATGTATGTTTTATTCATTAAATAAGATCAAACTAATTTTTTTTTTGGGGGGGGGGACTTTTTATTTAGTAATTTTTGTGGCAATAACCAAACAAACAAGCAACATATTAACATTTTCTGACATAAGACCATTTAAGAGAGAGAGGGGGAAAAAAACAGACCACGATTAATATAATGATATGTCGTAGGGGAGATTTATAGCTTTATATTACAATGTTCCAAAGTTCGTGTTCATTCACCCAAGTATCTGGCCACACATCCATCCCTGGTGGAAGATCTCCACCTTCAGTTGCAGGCTTGCTGTCATTCTTTCCATTGTATGAACTCTTTTCAGTCTCTGTTTCCATTGAGTTATGGATGGTGAGTTTGTTTGTTTCCATTTCACAGTTATCCTTTTCTTAGCTATCAGTATATATTTTTCATCTATGGTATACCTCTCTCTAGGTATAACTCCCAAGAGAAATATGGTGGGGTTCAGTGCAGGATTTACTTGTAGGATTTTCTCTGTTTCTTCTTTGATTCTTATCCAGAAACCTTGAATTATTGGACAGTCCCAAAAGATGTGTGAATCGTCTCCTATTCCCCCACATTTTCTCCAACATAGTTCTGCATTGGGTTCCTTACAATATGAGGAGATAACAAGAGGTGTATTAAAAAAAATCTAAATTTTAAATTTCCAGTCAAACTCTCCATAATTGACTACTTGTTCCCTTGTTTTACACATCTCTTCCCATACATTATCAGTGATAATAATATTTAGTTCTAGTTTCCATTTCTCTTTAATATGGCCTGTATTTTAAGATCAAACTAATTTTAATATTAGATAAAAAAAATAACCCAAGTAAGTAAAAAAGTGTTTCATAAATGATGATTTCGTTAGAAATCCAGAAATCACTCAAACAGAACCTGTCTGTCAAAGTGAAGCAGGCTAAAAGCTCAGAAAAACAAACATCACACCACGATGTAAAGACGCTCAAGAAAACTTATGAGAACAATTACAAAGTTATTGGCATCTATTAGTCTGCAAATGTTTGTAAGGCTTTGGGGCTCCAGTGAACAACGGAGAGGTGAACTTTCCAAGAAGCTACCAGTGACTCATCCAGGTCACAGAAGAACCCAGAATAACATCTAAAGAACTGCAAACCACAGAAATCTAACATATAAGAAATGTATAAAACCACATGTGCTCATTGGGTTGTTTTTTATTGTTATTCTTCTGTGTTTCAATTCCTGTTAAGATAAACCAGCTGGAGGGAACGCGGCAGATAAACGACTGCAGACAGAAGAAGAAACACAAAGCAGCAGTTTCTGTAATTCTCTTTTATTAATTTTTTTCTTCACATTTTTATTGACAGAAGTCAAGTAACCAAGGCATCTGTAAACAGTGCATCCACAAATCTACATGTTGCCTCTCATCAGTGCGATCGTTCAGTCATTCAAAAACACTGTTTGGAAATAAATACAATACTGATTGGTTTTTTTTCTTTAAAAAAAAAAAGAAGGTAAAACCTACATCTGCCTGAAGGAGCTCGTAAAGATTCAGTCTTTGTCTGTAGTCACAGTCTGGAAATGATGCCACATATGAAGCAACACACGGAGGTAAACGACTCGATGTGGTAAAATCCTGAAGCCGGAGGATGAAATACTGACACCACCTGCACGGCTGGTTATGTGCAGCTAAAATGAGAAGTGAGAATTTCTGGACCTTTGAACCCCTTAAAAAGCTTTCAGCTTCATTATAAAGATTACCCGTTCTTATATTTTGCTTGTTCTTATGTTATTATATTGTATTTTGCTTGCAGACAAGAATTTTGGATACGGTTGTCTTACCCAGAGATGGGCAGTAACGCGTTACTTGTAACGCGTTACTGTAATCTGATTACTTTTTTCAGGTAACGAGTAAAGTAAGGGATTACTATTGCAAAAACGGTAATTAGATTACCGTTACTTTCCCGTAGGAACGCTGCGTTACTGCGTTACTAAAACTGTGATTTTTTTTGCAAGAATGTCTCACGACAGTGACGTAAGCGAGTGCGACGTTCGTGACAACAGCTGTGTGCAGATCAACAATGGATCACATATCGATTGTGGGAGAGAGTATGAGCGTGCAGCCTTTAAAGTGTGGAAGTACTGACCTTACTTTGAGTTTGATTCCATAAAAAGTCACAAAAACATTAGCGTCCATCGTGCGTGGGAAGAAAACTTTTTTTTTACAGCGAAAAAAACCCCTAAACTTCCAAGCAAGCACCGAGTGCTCAACGACGTAATAGGAAACTCGCGGAGAAACTCGCAGATTCTTCAACTGACCGCGGCACACCTGCACCAGGGTAAACCTCCGCCTACGGCACTTCTGCTTTACAGGTGAAAATAGAGCAACAGGACCGCTGAGTCTTTGATGTTATTTATTTTCTGCTGTGTTTTACTTGCATCTATTTGAAAGACTGAGTGTAAACACACAAAAAAATATATTTTATGTGCTGGAATGTGCAGAAAATAAGTTTAAATGTTAAACAAATTTCTTTGTGTATATCATATTTCTTATGTACATTTTAGACCTGGGAGCAGAAATGCTGAGGAACTGGTTTTTATTCAGGAACAGGCAGAGCGTCCTCTCTTCCTGGCTCCATGTCTATAATTATGTCACACACTGATTCGCTCTCACAAAACCACCAAAACACAGCACAAATCCCACCAATGCTTCAATTCCTTATAAATCATTGAATCAGGTACTGAAGCAGTGACGTGCTGAATGAAGCTTCAGTCGTCATTGATCACGTGACTCTGTTCAGTCAAACCAAGCCTCAGCACAGCGTTTCTGAAGCAGTGTGTTGATTTTTTGACACACGTGCCGGAGCTTCAGCTTCAAACGGGCCGTCACCATCAGAGTTGCTGGAACCATGTCCCACTACTGGCTACTCTGTTTTATTCTGTGTTAAGTTTTTGAATGTGAATTTTCTGTGTTAAGAATAACAAAGAAAATGTAATGAAGTGATTTTAAAGTTTAAACTTTGTGTTAAATCTTGTGAGTCAGAGAGAGAGAGAGAGATGAGGTGTGGGTGCACATCAGATGATCAAATGTCAACAACCTGATTGGCCCAAGTATGAAGATGTGACGTCCACTGAGGGAAGGGGGGAGAAAGGGTGAGCAGGTATAAAAGTGAGGTGAAGAAGAGATTCGGAGTTCTTCCCTTTTGTCCTCTGTGAGATGAGCAGTTCAGAAGTTTGGATCTAAGAGGTTCACAGTTAAAATTCCAGCAGAGATGCTAAAAGGAGAACCACAGTCCAACCTGTGAATGTTTTTAACCCTTTGTGAAACAACAAAGGCATAAATATGATCATATCAATATTATCTACTGGGTCAGACTCATAGGATCAGGGATTAGAACTCCTTTTATCAGAGAGATGAAATCTACTTCCTGTACAGGTTTTTTTTGTGGGCCTACCGATCAACAGAAACTAGAGTCAATAAAAAAACTGGACATTGGCTCAATGTGTGTGTGGCACAGGTAAACAAGGACTGAGCGCTGTGTAGTCCCACATAAAGTCAGACACCTGGTCACCCTAGGTGGACCATGGCATGGTCTATATGGAGGATACAGACACTGCTGAAAACATGACTCTGTCTGGTTTAGATGATCAAATGTCTTTACTTTAGGAGGCTGTGGCTCAGAGTACATTCACATAATGCCTTTGAATAAATGTAAAAAGCTTGTTTTGCTCCTGCTTTGATTTCTTTGTCCAGGTAGAAATTCTGCTTTTTGCCTCTAAAATCTGAAACAGTTTGAAACAAAGTTTGGCGCTCTAATCCTCTCTGTGTTTGTCCTTTGGTCAGATGGTGATATTGAATGAAATATTCCAGTATTCAGTAGCTCAGCAGCTTTGTAACATGTGGTTTTGCACACTGTTCAAACCTCAGATGTTTGTGTAAACAAGTGTGGAGGACACAAACTGACGGGGGGAGGAACGACATTTACTGTTGATGTGTCTGACATTTAGTCTCCATGAGTTCTCATAAGACTGAAGAACTCTGTGATCTCTAACATGCAGCTGTATGTTTTGAAATTCATTCTCTGGACTTTACTAGACAACGAGTGAAGAACATATAACGAATATCATCTTTAAAGTGATGAATAATAACTCTGCCTCTGTGTCTTCATAAAAAGATCGTACTTCTGAAAGGTCAGAGGGCAGCATCCACTCTGGGTTTACACAGTTTTGCAGCTTTAGCTCTTCTGAAGTTCAGCACCTGCTTTTTCAACCAATCAGAAGCC